GAGGTAGAGCCAAGATGGTGGAGAAAAGTCAGGGATTGGCCTGAGCTCTCCTCCAAATACCTTTAAAAAATGACTCTGGGGCAGCCAAGTGGCACAGTGGACACAGCACCAGCCCTGGAATCAGGAGGACCTGAGTTCAAATCCAACCTCAGACACTTTACACTTACTTGCTGTGTGACCCTGGGCAAGTCACTTAACCCCAATTGCCTTGCCAAAAAATAACTAAAAAAACCCAAACAAACAATCAAAAAAAAACTAAACAAATTCTAGAGCAGCAGAACCCACAAAAAGGTGGTGAAACAAATTTCCAGCCCAAGATAACTTGCAAGGTAGGAAGGAAAGGTCTGTTGCACCTGGGTGAGAGTGGAGCACAGTCCAATGCAGGCCAGACCAGCACAGCCCTGGCTCCAGCAGACCAGGAGCAGGCCTTGGAAGTGACTGAATCAGCAGTAGCAGCAGTGGCTGTTTCTGGTGCTCTCTGCCCACAGACAGTAAGGGAGTCGAACAACTGGTCAGAAGGAGAGTACAGGGGTCTTTTTGCTAGCCCTGAGACAGGACTCTGTTGCTTTGCTCATACTCCAATCTAGGTCGCATTCCTGGGTAGCGGTCCCAGGGCAAGGAGGAGCACAAGCATAGCAGAGTTGAAGCCACAGTGGAGGGGGGACCCTCCTTCACAGTTCCAGAGCAGAAAAGACTACTTTTGGTCACTCACAGACCAGGAGAGTAGTAAACACCTCTTCTTAGATCATACCACCTTGGAAGAACCGAAAACTTACATGTCCCTAGAAGTATCTCTGAAAACAGCTACACAAAACCCCTGAAGCTTGGGATAGTGCACCCTCCACCCTGAAAGCAGAGTCCTACTTAAACAGACAGTTAAAAGTCAAGTAATAGGCTGGGAAAATGAACAAACAATGGGAAAAACTCTGACTATAAAAAGTTACTATGATGACAAGGAAGATCAAAACACACACTCAGAAGAAGACAACAAAGTCAAAGCTCCTATTTCCAAAAGCTTCCAAGAAAAATATGAACTGATCTCAGACCATGGAAAAACTCAAAAAGGATTTTGAAAATCAAGTAAGAGAGGCAGAGGAAAAATTGGGAAGAAAAATAAGAGTGATGTAAGAAAATTATGAAAAAATGAATCAACAGCTTGGTAAAGAAGACACAAAAAATACTGAAAAAAAAAATAACACCTTAAAAAACAGACTAGTCCAAATGGTAAAAGAGGTCCAAAAGCTCACTGAAGAAAGTAATTCCTTAAAAATTAGAATGGAGCAAATGGAAGCTAATGATTTCATGAGAAATCAAGAAACAATAAAACAAAATCAAAAGAATGAAAAAACATGACAATGTAAAACATCTCATTGGAAAAACAACTGACCTAGAAAATAGATCCAGGAGAGATCATTTTAAAATTATTGAACTATCTGAAAGGCAGGATCAAAAAAAAGAGCTTATATATCATCTTTCAAGAAATTATTGGGGCAGCTAGGTGGCACAGTAGATAGAGCACTGGCCCTGAAGTCAGGAGGACCTGAGTTCAAATCTGGCCTCAGACCAAACACTTGACACTAGCTGTGTGACCCTGGACAAGTCACTTAACCCCAATTGCCTAAAAAGAAAAAACAAACAAACAAAAAAAGAAATTATCAAGGAAAACTGCCCTGACATTCTAGAACCCGAGGATAAAATAGAAATTGAAAGAATCCACCAATCACCTTCTGAAAGAGATCCCAAAATGAAAAAATCCCAGGAATATTACAGCCAAATTTCAGAATTCCCAGGTCAAGGAGAAAATACTACAAGCAGCCAGAAAAAAACAATTCAAGTATTGTGGAGCCACCATCAGGATAACACTAGATTTAGCAACCTCTACATTAAAGGATCTCAGGGCTTAGAATATGATATTCCAGTGGGCAAAGGAGCTAGTATTACAACCAAGAATCACCTACACAGCAAAACTGCGTATAATCCTTCAGGGGAAAAAAATGAATATTCAATGAGATAAAGGACTTTTAAGTATTTTTGATGAAAAGATCAGAGTTGAACAGAAATTTTGACCTTCAAATACAAGACTCAAGAGAAGCATAAAAAGGTAAACAGGAAAGGGAAATCATAAGGGACTTAATAAGGTTGAAATGTTTACATTCCTACATGGAAGATGATATTTGTAACTTATGAGACCTTTCTCATTATTGGGTAGTTAGAAGGAGTATATATAGACAGAACACGTGTGAGTTGAAGATGAAGAGATGATATCTAAAAAATAAAATTAAAGGATGAGAGAGGAATGTACTGGGAGAAAGAGAAAGGGTGAAGTAGAATGTGGTAAATTATCTCACATAAAAGAGGCAAGAAAAAGCTTTGACAGTGGAGGGGAAGAGGGGGGAGGGGAAGGGGAGTGAGTGAACCTTACTCTCATCAGAATTGGCTCAAAGAGGGAATAATATACACACTTAATTGGGTATAGACATCTTCTTTACCCTATAGGAGAAGGGGAGAGGTGACAGAAGGGAGGGCAGATTGGGGGAGGGGATAGTCAGAAGCAGAACACTTTTGAGGAGGGACAAGGTGAAAGGAGAGAGGGAATGGGGGAAAATAGACAGAAAATGGGGCAGGATAGGATGGAGGGAAATATAGTTAGCAATAGTAACTCTGAAAAATTTTTGAAGCAAGTTTCCCTGATAAAGGCCTTGTTTTTCAAACATATAGAGAACTGAGTCAAATTTATAAAAAACAAGAGGCATTTCACAATTGATAAATGATCAAAAGATATGATCAGTTTTCAGATGGAGTAATCAAAGCTATCAATAGCTATATGAAAAAACACTCTAACTCACTATTGATTGGAGAAACGCAAATTGAAACAATTCTGAGGTACTACCTCATACCTATTAGACTGGCCAATAGGACCGAAAAGGTAAATGACAAATGCTGGAGGGGATGTGGGAAAAATGAGACATTAACGTACCATTGGTGGAGTTGTGAACTAATTCAACCATTCTGTAGAGCAATTTGGAACTATGCCCATAGGGCTATAAAACCATGCATACTGTTTGACCTAGCAATACCACTACTAAGTCTGTATCCCAAAAGAGATAAAAAAAAAAAAACCAAAAACAAAAAGGAAAAGGACCTATATATACAAAAGTATTTATAGCAGCTCTTTTCTAGGGGCAAAGAATTAAAAATTGAGGGAATACCCATCAATTGGAGAATGGTTGAACAAGTTGTGGCATGTGATTATGATGAAATACTATTGTACTATAAGAAGATGAGCAGGATGCTCTCAGAAAAACCTGGAAAGGGACAGTGAGGTGGCGCAGTAGATAGAGCACTGGCCCTGGCATCAGGAGGACCTGAATTCAAATCTGGCCTCAGATCAGACACTTGACACTCACTAGCTGCGTGCCTCTGGGCAAGTCACTTAACCCCAATGGCCTCACCAAAAGAAAACAAAACAAAACATCAAAGACTCACATGGGCTGACGCAAAGTGAAATGTACTGTGTACAAAGTAACAGCAATATTGTAAGATGATCAGCTGTGAATGACTTAGCTATTCTCAGCTACACAAGGATCTAAGACAACTCATAAGGACTTATGATGAAAGATGTTATGCATCCCCAGAGAGAGAAATGATGGTGTCTGAATACAGATCGAAGCATACTTTTTTTTAACTTTATTACTCTTGAGGTTTTTTGTCTATTTTTTCTTTCACAATATGACCATTACGGATATGTTTTACATGACTACACATGTATAACCTATATTGAATTGCTTGCCTTCTCAATGAGAGAATGGGGAGGGAGAAAGGGAGACAATTTAGAACTCAAAGTTTTACAAACAAATGTTGAAAATTGTTTTTATGTGTAACTGGGGAAAAATAAAATACCAAATTTTATATGCACATATATGTATGTATGTATATGTATATGTGTATGCACACACACACATATGTGCATACATGCCAGGGGCAGCTAGGTGGTACAGTGGATAGAGCACCAGCCCTGAAGTCAGGAAGATTTGAGGCCAAATCTGGCCTCAGACACTTACTAGTTGTGTGACCCTGGGCAAGTCATTTAACACCTATTGCTTAAGGAAGGAAGGAAGGAAGGAAGGAAGGAAGGAAGGAAGGAAGGAAAAATATGCCAGATTACTGCTTAAATATTTCCCTAAGAGTATTCCTTTAAGGGCTATAATTCCTGACCCAGAAGCATACATATTTCCTGCTTCCCATTTACAGAAGCATATGATTTTAGTGCTAGAAAGAACCTTCCATCTAGTTTCAACACCAAGAAGGAAAACTGAACCCAACAGATACAAAGTGACTTGCCTAATTCCTACCTAGAGAGGTATGGCAGACCTAGGACCAGGACCTAGATCTTTCCAAGATCATAAAAGGTACTGAATAACTTGGATAATAGATGGAGACCTGGAAGGTACCTTAGAAGCCATCTGGTTCAACCCCATGAAATTGAGGACCAGGTTAAAATGCTTGCCCATAGTCATGTAGAGAACAAACAGCAGAGCCATGGTTTAGACAGATTCTCTGATGCTCAATCCAACATTTTGGAAACTTTACATTTTCCAGAAATTAAACAAAAAATTTACATCTGGGAGCAATACAGTTAGAAATGGCAAATATACAATGTTATATCCACAATAAAGTTTTTTTTCTCATTTGTTTTAAAAAATGATATTCTTGGAGAATTTTTATACATCTGTACTATTGGCAGATAATGCTATCATCATTCCATCATATCTGAAGTTTTTCTGCTGTATGTTTTAATAGGTTTAACAGGTTTAATAGGAATTTTGTATATGTTGAACTGAAAAGAAACTTTTTAATACAGATCCACCTCAGTCTTAAGAGAATGTTCTTTCAAACAAAATTCAATGGAAAGGGAATTTTTCAAATCTTATTCAAGAGCCAGACTAATTTTAAAAAATGCTCCAAGGCACATTTCCAATTCTGCATTGTTATCAACTTACCTTTCTCGAGGAACTGCAAACCAGTACTCTGGTTGCTTTCTTCTCTTGCCGAACTGTTGTGCCATAGTCGTGCTATGAGTAGCAAAGGATTTTCGCATGGGTTTTCCCACTTTGATACACAGAAACATTGGTGGTGTCTTGCTCTTCTCCTCTTTTGATGGAAGCATATCTGAACCATGTTAAACAAATTTTTTAAAAATCCAAATACTCTAATGACATATAGGAACAATGCAGTTTTGTAGCCTGAGTAAAATAACAAGTATTTTTAATTAAGGAGTTAATAGACACTGTTTTCTTAATGTGAATTTTAAAAGTTTTCTTTTACAAGACAAAGACTTCCAATAATTTAGTTACACATACCAGATCAGTATGAAGGGACATTTTGGCAGCACTAAAATACAAATTCTCTTAGGAAACTCCTTTTTTCTAACAGCAGAACTTCACAAACTCCTAGAATAGCAATATCATAAATCTATGCTTCTGGTGGGGGTGCTAACTATCCTAATATTGTTTTCCCAAAGATTCACCTGAAAGATTAATAAAAGGTAAGGAAAGATGAAGAAATAAAATGCATTACTGCTATACTTATTCCCATATATGCTTATGGACAATATCTTGTCTGCTAGAAATAAAAGGTAAGAACTGCCTGTGGGTACCTCATCACTTGCTGTGTGGTACCCCCACACTGTAATCCACTTGCTCTGACCTAAATTTTGTTTAGTTAGAGACCTAAATTTTGTTCTTAAAAATAAAAAAGTACTGCCTGGATTAGAATATAATTGATTAGATTGTAAAAACTAAGTGGATATAATCTAAATGGATTAGATTGTAAACCCTGAGGGCAAGGACTGTCTTTTTCTTATTTGTATTTCCAGTGCTAATAAATGTTTATTGATTATTTAATAAAATGACTCTATGCTTATAAATAATGACAAGATTATAGCCTAACTCAGAAGAATCATTACTGCAGAGCTAGAAGACCATCTAGCTAGTACAATCTCTTAATTTTACAGATGATGAAACTGAGGCCCAGGGAGGCTAAGTGATCATCCTAAAGCCACATATGTAAAGATTGTCAGAAATGGGATATTGCACTGCAGAAACGAAAGAAATTTTCAGAAAACCAAACTAATCAGCCAAAGTTTCTTGAAAGGTAAAAAACAAACTCCCCATTTCTCTGCCTCTCCCCTACTCCCATCCACCATCAGCAGCTTCCTTCCACCCTAGGAATGTATGTTTTAGGTTTAGCTCCAATATATAAACTCATCTCTTAACCCTAAGCGATAAGATGCTTTATTGGACACAGGGATCTCTTTCAATGTTGGCAGCATTGCTACTGTTGCCATGTATGCAGCATTTGGAAAGTTAAGCAGACACACACACACACACACACACACACACACACACACACACACACACTCTCTGACCTACCTTCAATGGGTACCTGAATTCTCTTTAACAGCCACAATCTGATTTCTGATTTACTATCCACCTGTGCACCTTGGCAGCTCTTGTCCAAAGAGGATTCCAATGAGGCATCTAGGGACTCTTTAATTATCCTTTCTTCTGTAGATGGACCCATTTTGGATGAAAATGGCTCTTTTTCATAACCTTTACCTGGCTTCTTGCTGCCTTCAACAAATGGTTCATTTGCCTGAGGAACTGAGCTACTAAGAGTAATATCTATGCCTAAGGGAAGATTGCTTTTGCCATCACTGATTTCTGCATTTTCTAAGTTTTCAAATAACTGTGACTCTTCCTTGTTTTTATTAAGGTAATATTCAATAAGTTTAACTTTATCTAGATCTTCATGAATATTCAACATTGATTCCACATTTAGGGGAGAAATGGCTTGCTTGTTCCCTTCAGGGCCTACATCTTGTTTCTCACACATTTTTAAATCCAGAGCACCTTTCAGCTCAGTATCATACTCTGTTCTTGAAAGATCCAGTGCTGGCTGGTTCAATATTTCTAAAGTGGAACCAGTTCCTTGTGATCTGACCTTTCTAGACTCTTCTGAGTCAACAGAAAGGCATTCCTTTGGAGTTTCCTTTTTGTCACCTCCACCCTCAGTTTGGAAGGAAAGTTCTTCCAGGTCAACAAAGTCATCCTCTTCTCCTAAAAGGGAGCTTTCTTTGGTTCTAGAATCCGATGCAGTTTTTGCCTTGGAGGTTTCCTTAACGTCAGCAGTCACTGTAGCCAACTTGTTAGGTTCCTCCACGGAAGATCCCAAGGTCTCAGATTCCCTTGGAATGGTATTGCCAAAGGGCTTAAGAGGATTGTAATCTGTAGACTTCTCCAAAGGTTTTATTGACTTGGAAATTAGGGGAGTGGTGGTTTCTCCATTCTGTAGCCTTTTTTCTTTATTGAGAGACTTGAATTTACTGAATGGATTTATATCCTTCTCAGAAGCCAGGTCTTCCCACTCTCCAGGCCTGTACAGAGGACAAAGATCCTGTGGTAGGTCACTGTCAGGAAGAAATGGTGGATGCACATGGAATGTTAAAAAATAAAAGAAAAACCAAAATGGAGGAAAGGAAAAAAACAAAACAAAACAAAACACCAAACAGACCCAACTCAAAAAAAAAAAAGGATAACTAAAATATGTTAAAATGATTTTAGAAGGATGAATCTAAATCAAGAAATAACATCTTCAAAACTAAACTAAAACAATTATGTCAAGAAAGAAAAATGGTGTTGTGCACCTTAGCGGAAATGTGTGGATGGTTTTTGAAGTTATGTTTAACAAATGCAGAACATGAAATGTGTCTTAAGATTTTTAAGATAAAAGAACTGTACTGCTAGTTTTCCTAAAGGATAAGACAGGGAGGGAAAATATCCCAGTCCTAAGGATTGGGATGGGAAAAAACCCTAAATACTTTTTCTTGGTAAATATTCTAGAAACTAACTATCATCAGTTCTTTACACCTCATTTACTTAGTAAACGTTACTTGAAAAACTACTACATAATTAACACAAGAACCTTGCTAAAACGCTATCCAAACAATCAATAGCATTTATTAAGCATCTACTAGATACCAGGTTTCATGGGTACAAGGATGAAAATGAAGCCATACTTGCCTTCAAGAATATACAGTCATGTTGTGTTACAGAGCAATATCATAGGCAAAATTTCCCCAAAATAAACTTCTATTCCCTGTAATAAATCCCCTTGGGTGGAGTGTAATTTGGGGCCACCTATTGCCCAGATTTATGTTGTGATAATGTATTAGAAGCAAAGCTGTACTGTATAATATTTCATAGTTTTAAAGACTTTCAGAAAAGCATCTGCTTTTTGATCGTCTACTGCATCCATAAGATTCAGCTAAGCTTGCTAACGGCCAATTTTTTTTGTGGGGGGGTAGTCATATAAAAAGGGTTATTGTAATCAAGTAATTTTATGCCAACAGTTTGTGCTGGGTTACTTACTGAAGACCCATGTTGTTTGGATATTATCAAGTTTTGTTATAATAAACTCTTTACTATAGAGAATCTGCTTCTATAAAAACAGTAACTATACTTCTTATCCTGGTATTCCAAATTTAGTTTAATTGTTGAAAAAAAATAATTTAGATGGGAAACAACACATAGTATGAGTTTGAAGAAAATGTGCCACTATAACTTTACTTTCCATCTTCCCCAGTATCAGATATAAAACATAGTGAAGATGGAAGGCAGCTATTTTCAGGAGACATGGTTTTATTTGTATAGGGGGTAGGGCAAATCTAGATAATGTTAGCCTTTTCCTATGGCATAAGGATAAATGATCATCAGCTAAAAAGTATATCAATCTAAGATCTTTTAAGGCAGCTAAGTTCATACAGCTGCAACATAGGTTGGGAACTCAAAATTCATTGGCATCTCAGTTATCTGAAAGTACAAATTGATTTTCCCATCACCTATTATGTCATAAGATGTCTGGGTTCCCAGGCTAGCCCTCCAAAGCTTATTCAACTCATAAAGTACTTAAAGTATTAGTATCTGGACTAAGACTATATCTGAATGATCTCCAGTATTAACAAAGTATTTCCACAGACATGATCTTATTTGACCCTCACATAGATGATAAAGAAGTATTAGTGAAGTTAAGTGACTTGTCCAGGGTCACATAACAACTAAATAGCAGAACTAGTCCTGAAACCCTCATTTCTTATGTTTTTTATACATTACACTGTACACTACTAGACTGTAATTCCCATGTTGAACCACATTTCTAAGGAAAAAACTATTCAGATTATTGGCAACCCATCTCTGGCTGTCTGAGCTGCTGACTAGGGTTTTCCTGCCTCTTGTAAACTACAACATAGAAGGCAGTCTCCAAGTTTCTTCTCAAGATTTCCTTATTTTTTTTTAAACTTTTTTTTTTTTGACTAGGCAATGGGGTTAAGTGACTTGCCCAGGGTCACACAGCTAGTAAGTGTTCTGTGTCTGAGGCCAGATTTGAACTCAGGTCCTCCTAAATCCGGGGCCGGTGCTCTATCCACTGCACCACCTAGCTGTCCCCATCTTCTCAAAATTTCTGTGCCCAAGCAGATACTATACATGTCCTTTTGGAGTTTTCCTAAGAATTTTTATTGCTAGAGTATACTAGCACAAGTAATCTACTGAAGGGTGTGGGTTTTTTTCTGTATAGATATTCTAATTAATCATAGATTTCATTCTTATTTTTTTCCCTAAGGGATAATGGTGTTTTGCTGGAGCTATAAAGAATTTAATTTATGTGTATTATATTTTTAAAAGTAGAAGATTTTTATAAAACATTAATATAGAAATATATAGAAATTGGCTATTTAATGTTTAGATCTGTAATATTTAACTAACCCCTCAGCCTGTGCTTGGAAGGAGATTCTTTCTACTCTCTGAATTTAAAAAGCACATTTAATGCAGCTTATTCACTAAAACATCCCCAATTTCATGGAAATCAGAATGGCGTTTTGATTTAAGAATATAGTCCAATATGATAATGACAAAGTTGACATCTATATTTGTTAATATCTCAGATGAGCACCTTTCCTAATCTGTGCCTTCAGTTGTTATTAAGGTAATTGATTTCTCAGTTGCTATTTTCCTGGAATAAACATTATTGTGGGAAGAATTTTAATGTTCTATGTAACGTTGTAGTGGATTTATGATTTATCCAATGAATCATTCTGAAATGTTTTAAAGATCACATAAGAAAAAAATATTTACAGATCACATCACTTTTAGGTTTATGGGCCTTTTAAGTATTATGTGAGAACTATCCCATTATATTCAATTAGTTGTGTTTACACAGCACATCCTTAATTAATCCTTGATAACACTGTTAAGACATCTTTTTCCTGGCATATGCATTCTATCTGGGCTGCCATAGTTATTGGAAACAACTAAAATGGTGCAATGCACAAATGTACATAGGGTTCTCCCTCCCCTTTCCTTGGGGTAGGTCAATAATAATGGCTCTTCTGGAATTTCTAATGCCCAGTTTTTAAGTTATTTGTAAAGCACATAGAAGTTTGAAAAAAGATAGGGAAAAAACAATCAACTGCCATAATAAGGTCAATCAGCACATATCAATTGTCTGAATTACCCCTCTGTAAAAAAAAAAAAAAAAAAAAGGTGTGTGGGGGGAAATCTGTAGTTGCTTTTTCATTTAACATTAAACACTACAACAAATTTTCCCTAATTTCCCTGATACTACTGCAACAAGCGTATCATAATTGAATGACTACATAATGCCTGTCCTACTAAACAGCTACTAAAATGTGAAACACAGGGGGAAGGACCTTCTAGTTGTGGTTCTTTTTTTTGTTTGTTTTGTGTGGCATTCGGGGTTAAGTGATTTGCCCAGGGTCACATAGCTAGTAAGTTTCAAATGCCTGAGGCCACATTTGAACTCAGGTCCTCCTGACTCCAAGGCCAGAGCTCTACCTACTTCGCCACCTAGCTGCCCCCTAGTTGTGGTTCTTATAAACCTTTCTCCATACCAGGTGTTATCAAACTAAGTCAGATATGGTTGCATATATAGCCAAATACTCATGGTTCACTTCTCTGTCACCCTGATGCTATAACTGGGTTGGGGAAGAGAAAGAAATTGACTAAAGGTTTTTTACAGTACTAAGAATAATAAGATGATACTGTTTTTGTTTATTTTAAAGGTCACTGTATAAAAAACTTTTTTCTTATATTATATAAACTTTAATATTTTTAAATGAGATAAATCTGAAATAAAATTAAACATTTTCTTAAAGTGTACATCAAACTTGGTCAGAATTGAATGTAACATTTTTGCCTCCAAATGATATTTAGAAGGAGCAGCCTTTCTCTGAAGGAGTTTCAATGATATTCAGGGTGTGAATCAGATATCATAGATGAAATATTACTGATAAAAACATTTTCCATTTCGAACAAATCTGTAAACCACATCTATGTTTACAGGAAAATGCTTATAATAGTCACTATAACATCCAGCTATGGATAAAAATTTGTGGAAATAAATAATTTTGAATGAAAAAAAAGTATACTAGGAGAAAACCAAAGTTTCAAAAAGCCTCAGAAATCTGAGGATGAAAGTTATCCCCAGCATTTGTTGCAATGTAAACAGGGCCAAGCCTTGATCTTCCTCAGTTTTTTCTTGCTTTCCAATCACATTTTCAATCTAATGTTTCAAAGTCCCTATTTCTGAGGCTTTTCTTCTTCTCTTTCCCTTAAAGAAGGTTCTCTTATAAAGGAGACAAAAATAGAATAATGATGGGTGTTTGGATATACAAAGAACAGAAGGTACAACCTAGACTGTTTCCAGTCTTCTACCTCCACAGAAAAAGAACTTCTCTACAATGAGTGAGTTAGGGTTCTGAGGTAGGATGACAGTTAGGTACTGCATAGTTGTTAGTAGACAAGGCAGAGAAAACAGGATGAAAATTTACCTTTTCTTTCTGACCATCCATCCTATCCCCAACAGAACCACAGGAACTAGACCTAGAACTGCTGGAAGCAGGACCAGGGTCCTGTAGATAAAAAGGAAGGAAGTAGACGCCTAGCCAATATCTACAGTACTAAAGGAGAGGGAAATCATGAGCAGTGGAGAAGGAGGAAGCTATCTGGCTGGAAAGGCTTTATATATTAAGGTAAGTTGTGAGTAGGGCAACTAGGTGGCCCAGTCAATAGAGTGCTGGGCTTGGAGTCAGGAAGACTCCTCTCCCTGAGTTCATATTTGACTTCAAGACATGTACTAGCTGTGTGACCCTTGGCAAGTCACTTAACCCTATTTGCCCCAGTTTCCTCATCTGAAAAATGAGCTGGAGAAAGAAATGGCAAACTACTCCAGTTATCTTTGCCAAGAAAATCCAAATGGGGTCATGAAGAGTTGGGAGTATTCCTGGTTATTGACTCTGGGAAGAAAATCTTAATGATTTATATTAAAAACTGAACCACTTTTCCTGTTCTTGTTAGACATTATTCATTCAATAAATTAGAGTTCTTCCAGAATCCTTTTCTCCTTCCTTAGACCAATTTTGCTTATAAAGTAGCTGTTGTCTGAGAGAAAACAAGGTAGAAATGCCATTAAGGTATATATTTTTTTCCAGTTCTCTTTTGAAGGCAGGTGAGGGCAAGGATATTTTTGTTTTTTCTTTTTAATCCTTACCACAGTTGCCTGGCACATAGTAAGTACTTAATAAAAGTTTTTTGATTTTTTTTTATTCTTTTTTTTACATATTAACTTTCTTCCTGGATCACTAAATTTTGTTACTTTTTTCTTCTGATGGCTCAGCTTTATTCTCTTCTTGAAAATATTAAAAACTGCCACTGACAAATTCATATACAAACACTCCCAATATACTGTGGTATCTATCTCTTCTTCACAATACCAAATTCTGTTTTTCCTCCTTTGCATTTCTAAGACTCTTATACTCTCCACTCTCATAAAAATAAAGAATTCCTCTTACGATGGCAATGCATCTTTAATCTTCATGTGGGAGATATCGTTGTATAGTGCAATGGAAACAACTTCTTCCATGGGACAGATGAGCCCATATTCTTCACACCCATTCTCAATAACCAGAGGATCAGACTTGTGAGGATCAAACATGATGTTGTTAGGTGTGACTATCATGACACCTCCAACTACACCCTTAAAAGGGAAGGAAAAGAAAGATGTAAACATAATGGCATGTAGATTTCTAACTATGTAACAAGATTTTTTATAAATACATGTTAACTATTTCAATTTTTCTGAATATGGTACTCACCCCATATTTTTTTTCAGTTCCTTTATTAGGGTGTCTCAAGAAACATGCTTAAGGTTTTTTGAATGCAATATTAGATGTGGCACAAATAGTAGAAAGACACTGAACTCAGAATAATGAAATCTTTGTTTTAGTACCACCTTTGTCTTTAGTTTTGTTAACTTGTTAACACAAGTTAACAAAAGTTGTTAACATTTTGCTTAGTTTTAGTTTCCTGATCTTTGAATTAAGGGGGAATAGAGTAGGGATGTTCCTTAAGATGGCTTTTAGCCCTAAAATTCCATGATTCACAATTCATTCATTCTAGGCATCAATCAGTCATCATGCCTAAAAGTAAACATAACTGTCTTTACAATGACCATGTTTTCCTTGGCTTCCTTCAAGTCCCAGATAAAATCTCACCTTCTACAGGAAACCTTAATTTCTACTACCTTTCTTCTGTTAATTATTTCCAATTTACCCTTTATAAAGCTTGTTTATATGTTTATATTTGTATGTATAGTTGTTTGCATATTCTCTCCCTTATTAGGCTGTGATCTTTTTGAGAGCAGGGACTGTCTTTTGCCTTTTTTTCCATTTTGTATCTCCAGCACTTAGCACAATGCCTGGTGTATAGGAAGTGATTAATAAATGTTTACATTGATTGCCAATGCATCAAAACCACAGCTACTAAGAAAGGTACAGCATAAAAGAAGTTTATAATTTTGTTTTAACTCAGAAAAATGAGGCAACTTTGCCATCTGACCCCAAAGCAAAAGTAATAACTTGTCTATAAGTGAACATTCATCATTGTTTGTCCCTTTAAATGGGGTACTGCTCAATGTACTCTAGACCACCTTTGATCTTGGTGGCAGTGACAGTATTATGCAAATCTCAGTATTATAGATTCAGAATGAGAAGGGTCCTCAGATGTCATCCAGTTCAACCCCCTCCTTTTATAGCTAAGAAAAATTAGGCCTCCAGAGGTTAAGTGACTTGCCCAAGGCTATAAAGCAATAAGTAGAAGAGCTGGGATTTGAACCCAGATCCTTTGACTTCAAATTCAGCATTAATTTAAAGGAAAAAAACCCCTAACAACCTTTGCTAGATAAGGGGAAAGGTAATAAAGCAAAATAAAATACAAAAGCTTGAAGGTACCTAAATATAAAATTTGTTTCTTTAACATTCCCTGCCTCTTCTCAAGTAAGACAATTCTGGCCCCCACAACCGATATAGATCATCATTCCCTCAACACACCTGAGCTAAAAGGAAAGAAAGATAAAAAAGGCTGAATTAAGTCAGGTCTACAACCCACCTGTTGGGAAAAAGAGTTGATGTTGGTTCCTTTATCAGCAGAGTTTTGTGTCCTTTAAGGACACTAAAAGATATAAACAAACCTGACACACCCTCTCTCTCTGTCTGTCTGTCTGTCTCTCTCTCTTTGTGTGTGTGTGTGTGTGAGGCAATTGGGGTTAAGTGACTTGCCCAGAGTCACACAGCTAGGAAGTATTATGTGTCTGAGGCCGTATTTGAACTCAGGTCCTCCTGACTCCAGGGCCAGTGCTGTCTTTCTCTCTCTTAACAGGAATTTTAAAGGCAAGAAAACAGAAACACAGAAAAATAAAACAATTAGTCCAAGGTGGCTCAAAGCCACTTCTTCCAACTAGCTTGTGCCACTTCAAGAAAAGAAATGCCAGAAATTCAGTAGAGGGTAACTAATGGACTTTTGTCAAGTTGTGAGCTGGAACCTTTGGACAGAGCTTTGACTGTTCCTCAGCTGTAGTCATTTCCATCAGCCTTTTACTTTTAATACATATTCCCCCAAACAACCACAACTGCCACTTACCTTGCCATCTGTGAAGTAGCGACAGTTCATTTTTAAAAATTTTACAACTACTGGTTCATCTTCTTCAGAGGTGGATGACAGGACTCTTTCAATTGGTTTTAAGGCTTTTCTTGCTAAGTCAGCATCCTTTAAAAAGCAAATATTTCCATAATAAACAAAGAGTAAAAACAACCTTCTCTTACATTTTGTTTTGAAAATTCAAAACAACCCTAAGTTTAATAAAATAAAATTCCACTGTAGTCCCCCACATCTAACCTGCTTCATTTCCATCTTAAATGAAAAGTGACAAATGCACTACATCACTCCAAATGAAACAGATAGTGAAAAATACCCAAATAAAATGAATTTTTATGTACTTTTTAAATAAAAAGTACAAGTACCATCTTACAAGAATTGGCTAATTAAATGCTTTCAGAATTATATTAATGTGAAAGACTCCATACCAAACTCACATAGTTTTAATTTAGCAGAGATTTTTTTAACCTCTTATTTGTCTATAAGCCATCCTTTTTTCTTTCCAGTTTAATTGTGACAGACTTCTGTGATTCTCTTGTCAAAAATGTCATAGCTTATTGCTTAAGCCAATTTTAACCTTCTTATTGGGGAAATGTTGACTGTAGTCTTATCAAAATTAGCACATTAAGTTATAAAACCATGTGAGAAAACAGCTCCTAATAATACACAGAATCTGTGATTCTGGATTAAAAGATATACCTACAGGAAGTTTATCATATTCTGCATCTGATGATGAAGGAGAAATAGTAGCACCAGGACTTGATGAAGTTAACCTTAAAGCACTGGAAGGAGAGTCAGTATCTGGCACAAAAAGGACCTGAGAACAGGAATGAGGAATATGTTGAGTATGCAATTAAGCGTTGTTTTGAGTGGTTATCTTCTAAGTGCTATCTTGTTCAAAGAAGAGCGGTGTAAAATGGTTAAATTATAGCAATCTTCATGGAGGGGCTGGGTCTTCTATTAAAAGGATTTGTTCTGTAAAATTCGGCTTCAGTCAAAAGGCTGCACTTAAGGATCTAGAAGGCCACACGTGAGGTCACAGGTTCCCTACTCCTGGATTAGGATTATTATAAAAATAAATTATACATCATTTACTAAAACCTGAAATTTTAAAATAGGGACAAAAACAGAATATAAACGTTTATGTGCTGTATTTTTTCAAATGCAAGAATTAGTTTTTGGTTAAGTTAATATGTTCCTATTTTCTACTAGCTTTAAGCTCATAAGCCTGTTTATTTTTATTCGTCAAATTTATAGAACCATAAGAGTGTGCTATTTTCTATTTTTGCCAAAAATAGAAAATATCAAAGTTGGAAGAGAGCAGAGGCTGCCAACCTATGGCCCTAGGGCCACATAAATCTTTTCAGAGCTCATTATGTAGACTTTGAAAGAAGCATGGAGAAAAAAAATTACCATTATGATTCTATCAATACTATGATTGAGAGATATTAGGCCATTTAAAGACAAGTGATGGTGCTCTGCTGAAACACCAATCGAGAAAAACTTTTGAAGGCACACACACAGGACCTATCATGTAAAAAGAGAATTAAACTGTACAATCTTAATTGTCTTTCCAAATAACTGAGTCATCCAAATGTCATCCATGTAAATGAAAGTTCTCAAGTTGAAACAAACTCTTAAAAATATAAAGCAGAACTATAATTTATCAGTTCTACTCAGTATTTTAAAAGTTATATATCAATCTTTGAAGGTAAAGGAACAGTAACTGTGGCCTATTGTTAAGGACATTGGTTATGTAATTAAAGCAATAAAAAAAAAGATGCCAATTTTTCTGAACTCAAAATACAACCCTGATTAATATACTATATAATATATTAGTATACTTTAGGACTAAATGCTCTATGAAATTTCTAGGAATGGATCATTTCTCTTGAGAAAAAGTATATTGAGTTTTCTCCCATTTCAGCACTAACCTGTGTGACACAACTGGTCACAAGATAAGTATAAGGAACTGTACTAGTTAAGCTTCCCTTAAGGATTTATGATCTCTATAGCACTCATCTCTGGGGAGCTCAACACCTATGATCTCAATATTTGAGAAAGGAGAGACTGAACTGAACATTAATTCTACAGTCAATAAAAAAGCATTTAGAGTAGACCTCTAAGCTGAATCAGATTTATCCAAATGTATGAAACCATAAGAATACTAAAATAATTACCTGGCCTGGAACAATAGTGTGTGTGAAAAGCTTATTCAATTCCACAAGCTTGTTTGGAGTGATGTTAAATTTCAATGCTATTGTATTAAGTGTATCTTGGCTTCCAGCCTAAAAAAAAAATTCCAATACAAAAAGTCAAAACATTTTTGATAGAGAACATTATCTTTATGAAATATCAATATAAGCCACAGCAATACCTGCAATAATAATATATTCAAGAGAACAAGAAGATTTTTCTCCCTCTTAATTCCTAAAGAAATCACCTCAAATTAAATTATTTAGCATGATCTAATTCAGTGCTTCTGGACTTTTTAAATCCCAGGGTATATTTATGTATTTCTGAATTTTCTGTAACATGGCTTGGGGGGAGGGAGAGGACCAAAGAGGACACACAGGACCAAACAACAATTGACACTCAGCATGTCCTTCCTCCCTGGGCTGCTCCATGGTAGCTTAAAATAGAGATTTTGTCATTGAAGTAATAATTGCCTAGATCTGGTCTGGAATCTCTTTTCATTACAGCTACAAAATTCATAGCATATGAGAATTAGTCCAACTATTCTAGAAAGCAGTTGGGAACTATGCCCCAAAGGCTATGAAACTGTCCATAATCTTTGACCCAACAATTTGGCTACTAGGGGCTATACCCCAAGGAGATAAAAAGAAAAAGGAAAAGGACTTATTTATAGCAGTTCTATGTGATGGCAAAGAAATGGAAACTGAGGGGATTCCCATCAATTGGGAAATGGTTAAACAAGTTGTGGTATATGAATGTAATAGAATACTATTGTTCCGTAAGAAATGATGAGCCGGTGGACTTTGACTTACATGAACTGATACCGAGTGAAGTAAACAGAACCAGGAGAAAACAGCAACATTGTTCGATGACTAACTTTGATAGACTTATCTCTTCCTAGCAATGCAAGGATCTAAAAAAGACTCATGATGGAAAATGCTATACACATCCATAAAAAGAACTATGGATTCTGAATGTAGATTGAAGAATACTATTTGCTCTCTTTTTTTTCCTTGTTTCTTCTTTCTCGTGGTTCCTCTCATTGTTTCTAATTCTTCTTTACAACATGACTAATGTGAAAACATATTTAATATGATTGTATATGTAGATCCTATATCAGATTGCATGCCATCTTGGGGTGGAGGGAGGGAAGGGAGGGAGAAAAAGAAAATCTAGAACTCAAAATCTTATGGAAGTGAACGTTGAAAACTAAAAATAAATTAATATTTTTTTTAAAAAAATGAAAAAAAGAATTGGAAACTGAGGGGATGTCTATCATTTGCAGAATGAATGAACAAGTTGTGATATATAAATGTGATGGAATACTATTGTACTGTAAGAAATGATAGAGCGGTTTCAGAGAAACTTGGTGCAAAGTGAAGTGAGCAGGAGGAAAACAATCTAGTCTGAGTCTTATGGATAATACACAAAGATACTACAAACTTTTTTTTTTACTAAAAACAATTGCAATTTATGAATAACTATAGTCAAACCTAAAATCCTAAGGGCACTTTAGCATCTGGAGATTTTTCCACATTTATACAGATAAAATTACAAGGTGATAGGGGGTATGAAATGATCTGTAGATGATGTTGGTAGAAAGGAAGCAACTTCACATTATTAAACCTTGTATTCAGTAAGGATAGCTATAACCTGGTAATTGTTAACTTGACTAAGTAAAGTAGGTCAACTGTTATTTCTAATGTTTTGCATGTAAAAGAAATTAACCTTTAAGCCAAGTTCAAGAGGCAAACTTCATTTTATACATTAATTAAATAGTTGTGAATGTGTGTACTATTAATGTGCATAAAGCAATGTAGTATAGTGGAAATAGTACCAGATTTGGAGTCCGAGAACCTGGGTTTGATTACTGGCTCTATCATTATTGGGAAATTACTCCCTTTCTCTGAGTTTCAAGTTCTTATCTGTAAAAATGAGGCCAGTAAAATTTAAATTACCCACCTTTCAAGGCTATTATGGGGCTCAAATAACATGATGTATATTATGTGCTTTGTAAGCCTTGAAGTGTGATGTGAACATCAGTGTTCTTATTTTTGACCACTCATTTATATTTAATAATTGAATACTGCATCATGAGAACTTAGAGATCATTACTCCATCTTCTTCACTTCAATAGAAGAAGGGACAGCGGGCTAGAGAGGTGAAAAGTGACTGAATACTGAACAAAATCACATCAGTAGTAAAGAAGCAGCAAAATCAGATTATGAACCCTGAGGCTCTGATTCCAAATCCAGTGCTCTTGCCTTTAAATTAACCTCTTCTCAATGGTCCAATACATATCATTCAGGTCTACTGTTCAGTATTCTGCTGGGCAGAAATGGGCTTTAAGAATGAAAGCTTTAGAAGTACCCATATTACCAATAAAGAAAAATTCTGAGACAATGGTAAAAAGATGCCTAGGGATATCCAGGGTAACATCAGTGTTTTCAAATATAAATAGATATCTATTTCTTTGTAATTATTGGACTGACACTATGGCTAGGCACTCTAAAAGACTTGCAGAAAGATAAAATCTATGTTAAGGGTATTTTTTTCCATTCCAAAAGTCTTCTCCAAAGCTAGTATATTCTTAGTAATAAGGCAGCTAGGTGGCTCAGTGGATAGAGCACTGACCTAGTGGCAAGAAGATCTGAGTTAAAATCCAGTCTCAGACGCTTACTAGCTTTGCGACCCTGGGCAAATTACTTAACCTCTGGCCTGCGTCAGTTCCATCATGTTAAAAGGGAATATAATAGAGTAAATTGTCATGAAGATAAAATGAGATGTTTGTAGTGCTTTGCCAACCTTAAAATGTTGTACAAATGCTAGCTAGCTAGGTGGTGGCGGAGGCAGTGGTGGTAGTGGTGGTAGCAATACTAGTAGTAATATTGATGAGACCTGTGACAAAACTATAAGTATCATGATTATCCTAAATTGTATGAACACTCACAACCATGACATTCACACTTACTGTATATTCCATAGTGCCTCGGGGCTTTTGAACCACCATCTTCTTCTCTTTCTTCTCATTGGTTTTGTTCTGGTTGTCATCTAAAGGAAGAACGAATTTAAATATCCTCATTAAGATACTGGCTCAACTTTTTACAAATTCAGATCTGTTCAGATTACAGGATCCACAGGGAGCTGGACAAGCCATTTAATTCAGCCTCCCTACTTTCAGGCTAAGTAATGTCAGAAAGATGATAATCTCTCACGCTTGAAGAGTTCCAAAAAGGAAATTCCACAGCTTCTTTCAGTAAGCAGTCACAATACCCTACATATTTCAGAAAATTGTTCCTCATGTCTGACAAAAAAGGAGATATTTTGCTTATGTGAAAGAGGTAAAGATCCCAAGGTAAAGATCTTCAAGGGAAAGATCCCAAAACTTCTTCTAAAGATCCCTTATAGCATTGAGCTAAGCAAAATAGTGGAAATGACAACAGACTGCAACAGCTAGTCTTGAATTCCAGCTGTTTGATCATACACAAGTCAATTAACCTCACTAATCAGTTTCATAATTTGTAGGATGAGAGGATTACACTAAATCAGTGATTTTCAAAGCATAGTCTGAGGACCTTTTCTCGGGTTCCATGAAATCAAAACTATTTTCACAGTAATACTGTTTTAATTTCTATTATGGCAAATCTTGATAGCTATAACATATAAACAAAAGCTCTTTTTTGGGGGGGGGTCCTCAGTAATTTTTTAGAGTGTAAAAGGATTGAGACAAATAAGTTTGAGGACCACTGGACTAGATAGCTCTATTGTCCTTTCCAGCTCTAAGTGCTATGATTCAATGACTATTTCACTACCTTTCTCATCTTCACTATCTTTCTCACTGTGTCAGTATGGAGGAAATACTTTGTAAACCTTACAACCATCTATAGATATGCATTAAGTCCTCTTGAAATTCTCTACCAGTGTCCTTCTATGCTACTCCCTTAAGTGCTATCAACCAAGATTTTTATGTTCATAGTACCTTTTTCATTGGCTTTACATTTCCAGTATTTGAGATACTAATTCCTTCTTTCCATTTACAGCATTTGGGAGGGGGGGGGGTCCTAAGACTATCCTAAACCATAACAGAAAAATTCTAAGATAATAGCTCATTACAGTTTTCCTACACTCAGAAAAATACTGGCTTCCAAAGAAATACACTTGTATTCAGTGCCTCCAACATAGTAGGCATTAATAAATGTTGATTGATTAGTTGGTTGGTTGACTGGTTGATATACCTTTCAAGGTAAATTTATCCTCTACATTTCAGTGAGTGGCAAACATAAAACGGCTTTCTATTAGTGGTGATGAAGAAGCTAAAAATAGAGTAAAAGTGGAAATAATAATAATAATAATAATAATGTTACAAGTTCTAGGATCATTTTTTAAAAATGCTCCTTCCCAAGTCAGATTAATGGGTCAAAAAAGTTAAATGCAGTCAGGAAAATACAGATGACTAGCACCCCAGTTAAGCCTCATTATCTTGTCACATTCATTTTCAAAGATGAATGAGCATTGACTACTTTGATACTGGCCTGAAATTTTTTTTTCTTTTTTTAAAAGCAATTGGGGTTAAGTGACTTGCCTGGGGTCACACAGCTAGTAAGTGTCAAGTGTTCTAGTAAGTGTCAAGTGTTCAGCCTGAGGTCGGATTTGAACTCAGGTCCTCCTGACTTCAGGGCCGGTGCTCTATCCACTGCGCCAAATAGCTGCCCCATTTTTTTTTCTAAAGTCAGCCTTCACCTTCACTCTTACCTTCACTCTATATTGCTTTAAAACAACAACAACAACAACACTGATATATACTAACATACACTTTACACGTGTAGATTTCACTACATTCTGCTTTCATACCTAACCAAAAGGAAGACCACCTCGTACAGTCTGTAAACAAGGAATGCGCCTTCAAGTATGGGAAGATGCTGGACAGAGGCTGTTTTGTGTTTCTTGGGGTGGTCTTGCCATGGGGCTCATAATCCAAAACTTCAGGTAATGACTTGAAGCTTTCTCCGTGGTGATTACTGTATCCAGAAGACAGGGAGCCAGATTTCTCCATTTTCAGCCTTTGCAATTTCATTCGCAGCCGGAGCATGGCTGACTCGGTGTCTCTGGTCCAAATCATAGCAACGCTCAAATGCAAACCTCTACCAGTTAGCTGTGCAAAGTGCGGCCAGGAACCTTCAAAAAGGCTGAGACCATCCTGAGGAAAAACGGCTCCTGGACTCAAATTTTAGGCCAAAACAGTCTAGCTGCAAAGGAAGTAACCAACCTGGCTCAAGCTCCAACCTTCCAGCTAGCCCAGCTAGTTTTCACAAGCACAGTGTTGGGAAAGTGTGCGGTTAAATAGCAACACCACAGGCAAGCGGTACCAAAGACTCTACGCCTCCCCAGCAAGCCGGGGCCGAGGGTCGTGGAGATGAGCTCGTTCCAGGTGGATCAAGCCGGCCACGAGGTGGACACCGCCCTACTCCCCCTCCCCCATCCCAGATCTTGCCCCATCTGCCTAAGGGCAGCCTGAGCACTTGCTAAGCCTCTATTCGAGGAGATTCCCAGAGCTCCCCCATCACTTAAAAAATATATAGGGTCTTTGCATTTCTGCACACACAGAGACGTTTTCCTATCCTTCTAAACTTTACAACTCGACAACAGAGCTTTCACTTTCTACATCCCCATAAAGCAAGCGTAACAAATTCGCTCAGTGCAGTATTTTCATCAAACACATAAATACCTGAAGAGGAAGGAGGGTCAGGCCTGGGACTGGGATGAGGTGGGGCGGAGGAAGGAAAATGAAAAATTGTTGCTGACACCACCTGGAAGGGAGGTGTCTAAAGAGTTGCCCCTAAAACTCTCATTAACAATCTATGCTTCAAATAGGCAATGTCAAATCTTTTTTTTAATTTTTACAAAATGTGAGTTTTAAGAGTAATTTAGGAAAATAGAATTTTGCTGAGGAAGTAGAGCAGGGCGTCTCATGTGGGCATTTCCAAGTTCCTCTTTAACAAAAGTAATCGCAAAGATGCATCGCTACTCCCTAGTCATGTGCAAATGTTAGCTATAAAACCAAAATACAAAGCTTATACTTAATGTACAGTAGAAGTGTCTAGGAAACCTCTCAGAAAGGCTGTTGGGCTGTCATAAGATAACCAGATTCAGGACTGGAAAAGAACCTTAAATATCCTCTAGTTCGGATGCCTCATTTTATAGAAGAGTTCCAAGGAAGTAATGTGACTTGGTGATACCAGTACTAAGTAGGACAAGAGATGAAACCCAGATCTTCTGATTCCAGATCCCGTAATCTTTCCTAGACTGGCCTCTCTTAGATTCTCTCTCTCTCTTTTTTTTTTTAAGTCTAAAATCACCTTGAAGTAGTTTGTTGGCTTGAGTCAGCAAATCAATATAATGCCACTAAAGCAAAAAACAAACAAACAAAAAAAAACCCACACACAAAACACAAAAAACAAAACAAACAAACAAGTTCAACTCATGTGGATCACTATTCCCTCCTGATGAATAATATGTAATTCTTTTTCGAAAAGAACAAAAGTACTTAACATAACCATAGACCACATGAAAGCATGGATACTGTTAAGTAATTTAGATAAGGTGTTTCACATACTTAGCAACCACATACCATGTAAACTCTAACAGGAAATGTACCAAGAAACCCGTTTTCCATTGTTGTATTTTTTTTTTTTATTTAAAGCATACCACCTGCATAGGATAGCTTTGCAATTCCTCCCCCAAGGCTGAATTTGCTTTCAGAAACTATAATTAGAGAAAGTGAGGAGTTAAGGAGAGACAGCTATTATCAGAGATTGAGAATCTAGGAGAGGGACAGCAATTGGTAATAAAGCAGTTATGATCGATCAATCAGCCTGGGAAAGGTGGCAGGGCATGGTTGATAGAGAGAGCTGGTCTTGGCACTAGGAAAATCTGGTTTAACTGGCTTAATGACCCTGAGTAAAATCACCTAACCTCTCAGTGACTTGCACTGATAGAAGCCTTTCCTCATTGGGAGTTTCCTTAATACCAATGAAATTACAGGTCCAGGCCCTAACCTTATCATTTGGTTTCATGTTCCAGGCCCAGTAGAGGACATATGAAGACAAAAACAATGTAGTTCCTTCCATCAAGGAGCTTATGTTCAATGGAGAATAGAATATGCACATGTATAGGTATATACAAAACATAACCTTGGGGAGGAGAAGAGGGAAAAAGGCACTAGCAACTAGAAGAACTAGGAAAAGCCTCATGCAGAAATGGATTGCATACACTAACTTTTTAAAATAACAAAATAACTACAATGCCAGACAAAATGTATTTAAATAATTTCTAAAGAAAAAAAAACACTAGTATATTTGAAAATGCTTTCCTATTTGGGCTACTGACTAACATATAAAGGCAGATATGTCCATTTAACACGATTAATTGACTGATTTTAAATAGCACATATCTTTTAATCCACAAATACATTACTATCTTTAATTTGCAAATAAAGTATTAAATGACAGAGACTATATTTTTTAATTCTCTCTAAAGGACTAGGAAATGAATATGTTATAAGGAAAAGATGTTACAGAACCTATATCCTTTATGCCAAATCCTAACAGTCTAATTCTAAAGGAGAAAGCCAATAAGCTTTCTTGCCACCATAGTCCATTACTAACGTTGATTTCCTATCCAAAAATCTGAATTTCTGATCTATCATGAGTGGTAAGACAAGATTAAAATCCCCAAAGAAAGAACAGCATTGAACATTGTAATCCAAATCATCTCATCTCAGGCATTAAAAAAATTAACCACATTCATTTGTACCTTTTCCACTATTATACTATAGAAAGTCTCAGTCACAAAGAATCCTCTTCTCTTCTTCAACATCAAAGTTTATAGCTACAACCTTCTTTCGCCAAAGACTACCTCTTTCAATGCTGTAAACATAGTTTTCATAATTGGTAGGTCAATCATAGTTTATATCCAAAAACATTGGTTGCAATCAGTTCCATGAGCCAACAAGTAAGTAATGATCAGAATCCAACTTGATTTTGATCTGAATT